CCAACCGAAAAATTTCTAAAAATACTTAACATAATACATTATCAGATTCCCTGACATTCATAGCCGAAATTTAAGGAATTAAATTATAATAAAACAATCATATACCTTTGTTTTTTTTTCCAGTTAGTTTTTAGCCTAACTATGTACGTAGGATTTAGTTTTGATACACAGTTATAGGTTTACTAAAAACATATTTTTTGCTACTTTGTTCATTGTCGAAGCAGTTCTACTTTGTCCAAAAATATTATTAGATGTTGACTTGTTTTGTAATCTCTTCATCTGAATTATGTATTGTTATGTGTGTATATGTGTTTACTCGATTTGAAAAGATCGAGCAAACAAAATATAATCTTCTATGCATCAGTGTACTTTCTGTTACTTATATGTGCACGTATATATAATATAAACTTCAATTTTTTTTGAATAATGTCGCTTTTTTGGAAAGATATACTTAGTATATGGAATAAAAGGTTGTTATTAATGATTGTCATTAGGCCGTTATTAAGGTTGTTTTGATGGATTATCATTTTTCTTTTATATTTAGTCACCATGATTCTTTCACAAACAGAAAATTTTGAAAAATTAAACATGATATATTAAGAAAATACTCGGATCATTATTAAATAGTGATGAATAAATAATGAAAACATGACATTAGGATGATAATAATTAAAAGAACATGAATAATAGAAAATAGATATAATATAATGACAAATTNAATTTGCCAGAATTGTAAAACACAAAGTACAACATTCTCGTCAATTGAATTCCATATGGTTTGGAAAACATGAGCAAGTGCTCCAAATGCAACACACTTAACGACAACGTTACTGTAAGCAACAAGCATCAAAATATTTCAGCAAATGTTGTTACTAAGAATGTAGGAAGACTTTTTGCTTGCAAAAGTCGAAAACTTAGTCCATATTTTTTACGAAGAAACGTATTTTATGGTCGATGAATCCAGAGTTTCCGTGAGTAGGTTCTGTCACGAATTCTTCAAGAAATCCTACTCCTACTATAGTGCCATAAACATCTGCATCATATTTTTAAACAAATTATTAGCAACATGTAAGTAATAAATAAATATTAACATACTAAACTGTAATTACAAACTTTAATACGACAAACATATTAGATACTATAGAAAAAATACCAATTGAAAATTTAGGATGGACTAAACCACGATAGAGATCATCAAACTCTGTAAATGAGAAATAGTTGCTCATAGAAAAAGTATTGATCTTTGAAATGACGGAGGAGCAATCGAGGTTAATATGGTGAGGGTTCTTTGTCAAACGAAGAGGCTCTGATGCAGGTGTGACTATGAATTGCTTAATTTCATAGCAGTGACATTCCTCCAACGGCATTTCAGTTTCTGCATGTAAATCTCTCACAAATGTTGCTTCAATCGTGTTTCCCTGTTGAATAGCAATATAAAGTTGTTAGTAAATATGCGATAAAACAAAACCTAGATATATAATCATCGAATGTAACAATAAATAGCTCACTGTCTCATCTCCTATTATTAGCACCGATTTCTGGACTTGTGACAGAACCTGTGTTTTCCCCTTCCGAATAACCTTAACCCGTATTGGAAGCAAGGGTTTCGCAAAACTCAATTCTGCCAATGTCATATGACTACCCATTTCGAAGATTGCAAGATGTTTGTGTGAGATATAGGATTGTCGATGATGTTTATAAGGTTTGAATGCATCTATATATAACAAAATGTAAGTCATTTCTGCAAGTGGTTAAACCCACTTAATGGATCTGTTGCTCTCTATATTAAATTAGAATTTCCATATACGGTATTGCAATTACTTAAGGGATATAATTCTTTAAATAACCAAAATTCTGCAATATTCTTGTGTTTAGTTATTCCTATTGTCTTCAACAATTCGAATATATAATTGTCGGTTTTAATGGCCTTACGTATTGCTAAAGCAACAGAATATTGACTTCCTTATATATATTTTGTGATTGATATAGTTTCAACTGAGGTAATTAGTTATAAATTAACATATATTCCCGAACAAAATATTATATCCATGGTTTCCATAAAATACAAACTTGTTTTCTTGATTAAATATTATTCCTAAAAATGGCTATGGCTATCCCTTATTTTTAGTGAATCATAATCATAACGATAATCATAATATGTGAATCTGATTTTATAATATTGTTGTTAGAAATGTTATAATTTTCTAATGTAGGGCGATTTGAAGTATTAATATTAAATAATTAACATTAGAAGTATTAACATTATTAACATTATTAAGCTTAATTCAATATTATTAAGTTTATTTTCATACTGAAAGGATAATTTATCAGATAAGCAATGGAATAAAACACAAGTTTTCCTTTTAGAGATCTAGTGTACATAAAATTAGGTCGAAAGCAGAGAAAAGTACCAACCTACAAATATGCGTGCAAATTAATATTTTTGTTATGACTTTTTTGTTATGGTATTTGCAGCTTAGATATTGCCACCCACGATCAGCATCGATGCTTTCAATTGTGCCAAGAGTGACAAAAGTACCAACCTACAAATATGCGTGCAAATTAATATTTTTGTAACTATTAGATGCACAAATAATGATTCGAAACCTTGTTTAATAAATATACCAGATCAGTATCGATGATCTCCCTTATGGTTAGCCTCTCATTAGTCACAAAAAACCTAGCACGAACAGATGTAGCACTACCAACGGACCATTGGCTACTATCATTGTTTGTAAGAGCAAGTGAATCATTGGGGAGACTGCACANTAGATGCACAAATAATGATTCGAAACCTTGTTTAATAAATATACCAGATCAGTATCGATGATCTCCCTTATGGTTAGCCTCTCATTAGTCACAAAAAACCTAGCACGAACAGATGTAGCACTACCAACGGACCATTGGCTACTATCATTGTTTGTAAGAGCAAGTGAATCATTGGGGAGACTGCACAGTAAAACAAAGTACTAAGACCTCTAGTTTCTCGTATAAAGGTAAGATGAAATTACGATGAGACATACCTAGCTTTAAAATTTGCAATTAAATCCAATGTTGGATTCAGCAATATATGGGTTGAATTGTACCCGCTAGATATGGAGTAAGCACCTGCGGTATCATAAGCTTATGAAAATGTTATGAGATTAGTCATTTAAGAAAGTAAGTGTAGGAACTATACCTTTCCACTCTTTAATGGAACAAAACCAGATTAGAGCAATGATCATTGTGGAAATGTTTAACATACTGTAATCATATACTTGTTTAGCATAACTGCCCCAAAGAGTACACATCAACTTCACATCACTGCATATAACACCACTATTATTAATGGATAACACAAGAAAAGCTGATTCAATGATTTAAAGGAAAAGGCATAAAATGAAAACTTACTTTTGGTCCCTTAACTCAATCAATAGTCTGAAATTATCCTTTCCTTTTATGACTTTGTTTTCCAGAGATCCGAAGTTAACTACTTGGCCAATAACATCTACATATCAAGTTAAGAAGTCAATATTGTGTCATTTAAAAATATTGTAAGAGAAAGCAATAGTACGAATTTGACTCACCAACCAAACAACTGCTATCAAGCTTCCCATCAATAATATCACTGTAATTGACAAGATACTTCTCCGGAACTTCACTTGGGAAGTCATCGGCTGGTCCAACAAAAGTTGTCTGAAAGAATCCAATTTTGTAGGGATGCGCGGTGGTTCGATAATCACCAGTAGCGTCGTAGACTTTAAATAAGTGGATGACCTTTGCATCGCCTTCGGTTAGTTTCCCTTCAAAATGTTTTATGAGCACTTCACCGACTTGAGCATGGATTCTTGTCCCCTACACGGTGATGAGAAGAGAGTTAAAGATGTAGCTGTCATACATTCTACAAAAATGGAACTAACATAGGAAATGAAGTAATGAACTTACTTCTTTATCGACAAACACCATTTTCGATGGTGTTTCCGGAATCTCTGTTGTAGTTTCTCCATAAACGCAGAATCCTAACCTCAATACGCCATGTATCTTTACACGGTCTCAAATCCTTGATAGATGACACTCGATTTTTCGTAGCTTTAACCATTGAATAGATGTTTTTGAGACTTGCGTTAGGTTTACAGACATTATGACATCGTTAATATATACTGAATTACTTTCCTAATGGTATGAGATTGATATCTTTGGCATTTAATTTCCAGCTTGTTTCACAAGTTATCGAATATAAAGTTAGGTCTCTAATTAACGTAACCAAATATTTGAGATACAATTTAACGAATATTATAAAAGATTCCGAAAATTAATGTTACCTCTCTAATTAATGTTCCCGAATATTATATAAGGCAAGTAATTAAGGTAAACGAATATATGAGATACGATTGTTAAACCATTTGCACGGCGAAAATTAAAAAAATACCAAAGAAAATTGAAAAAAATCAACCAATCAGATTGTCAGAATTTCTCTGAGAAGGCCTGTGTGAGCGACACGTGTCCAAGTGACTTCTCTTTTAATGTATAGGAGGATTTAGACTTTTTATATATGTTGTATTTTGAAATTTTTAGAACGAGTATAAATTACAAAAAATATTAAAACTCTCACATACACTTTTGTATTCAAGGTCTAAATTTTTTTCTGTGATAAGTTACAATGATTATAAAATCATATAAATAAATAATTTTATTTTAATTGGGTGTATGTTAATAGATATATATGTATTTAATAAATAATTTTATTTTAAACATAATTATAATTTAAAATTTAACTTAGTTTTGTATACTTTCTGATATTATTAGACAAATAAATAAATTATATTAAATTAGTTTTCAAATTTTATATATTCTAAATTCGAATATTCTACCAACTGCTTTTTAAGATAGCATTAGGGAACCTGATAATGCTCTATCAATTAAGTCATGTAACACTCCATTTATTTTTCACATCTCAAACACTAAAAAGTGAAAAGATATATGAACCGGACCCATTAAATTATAAGTTTTGATCTACAGTTCTAGTTACAATTGTTTATGATCCTACGTATAGATAATTATATAAAAATTCTAAAATTCTAAATACATATAAAAACAATCATACGTAAATTTTAAATTTGTGAACACTAAAATCTTATATTTTAATTACATACACTCATCATGCGCAAAGCACATGTCTTATCTTAGTATTTATTGTTCCGCAAGCTTTCTTTAAATAAAACCTACGAAATTACCTAATGTGATTAAAATATATATATGGCAATTAATGATTTTAAACAATAAAGATTTGATAACAATCTGTATACTTTTTTATCATTTTGTTTATTTCTTAATTATTAAAATAAATTACAAAATTGCATTAATCGTGAATAAAAATCTATATTTTATTGTGTATGTTGTATTTCAAATTTTTCAAAATTGAGTATAAATTACTAAAAGTGTTATAAGTCTCACATAAGCTTTTATGATCAAGGTTTAAATTTTTTTCTATATTAAGTTACAATTATTATAAGAGCATATGAAGAAATCATTTTATTTTAATAGGTTTTATGTTCATATATATTTCATATCGTTTAAATTAAACTATTCATCGTATGCAAATACATACTAATATTTTGATATTTTCTTTTAACATATATTGAAAAGTTAATATTTTAATTTTAAATCAGTCTTTGTTTTTCTTAAATGATTATAAATTATTGAAACTACTAAACATCTCACATTAAAAAAATTGATGGTGTAAAATTTTGTTATACAAATATGAAAATAATCATAAAATAATATGAGTAGAAACCTCATTTAATAAATATAATACTAAAATTTTTCTATATATCTATGTTAATACCATTTAAATTTAATTATATATCATATACGATGGATAAGATTGACTGTTTTGATTTATTTACCCTAATTGCGAATAAACAAGAGTGGTCGTTAGATTTATATGCACACGCAAATTTATTACATAATAGTTACTGATTTCTTAGTTATTTAATATATACTTATTAGTTTATTATTTCATAATATGCAGAAAAAATTAAAAAATAATAAATATAAAATACTTATTCTGCAAAAAGTGCAGATCTTCACCTAGGTATGCATCTCTTTAATTATTTTAAATCTTAAGCATTATCTAAATCTTAGGCCAAAACAAACAAACGAAATGAGAATAAACTTCAAAATCAATATTCATATCGAGCAATAACCAAAATGAAAAAGACACAAAAAGAAAAAAATATTGATGATAAAGAGGATTATCATGTGAACGTAAACTTATCATAACCGTAATTAATTTTTAAATTGCTAAATCATGATATAAAACTGAGCTGACATAGTCTTATTGTAACCAAATAGACCTAAGATTTTTTGACTTAAACGTTAGGTTCTTTAAGGTAAGTGATATTTTGACATAAAATATTTTAAAAATGAGATCAGCTCATCAGTAAAAAAAATTATGTAATTAACAAAAAAGATATAAAAAATTGTTTAAAGACCAAAATAATAATTCAATCAAGAATATAGAATTAATTTTCCATATAATATTTTTAAATATTTTTTTATAAATTTATTTTGCGCAAGGCGCAAGTCTTATCCTAATATTATATATTAAAACATAAGTCATGACTTCATTCCATGTGTGATTTTGTTTTTAAAAATGGACCTATTCCTAAAACTTACTAAAATAAATGTTTGTATACATACTGAAATATTTTAATTATTCAAAGAAAAATCAAATATATATTCCTATATTTTCTGTCAGTTACATCTAAACAGAATCGTTTTTATATCTTTTTATTTACAATAGAAATATATATTTTGTTTTTCACTTAAACAAAATTTTTAAATATTTATTAATTTCGTAATTATTTGATACATATATGTATAATTCATTTTTACTAAAATAAACCTTTTAAGTATCTAATTAAATATGTAATTATATTAAACTTATGTATGATTTTGTATTGAATTGGTAATACTAATTTAACTAATATTTTTCAATTAAATATGATCTCTAAAATATAAGATTTGTTAATTCAGAATTATACACCACACTGTTGAAATTTGAAAATATGCTAACAGTATGAATGATCGGTCTACAAATGCAATTTTGAAAATTCATTTAGTTTATGCTATTAAATATAGTAGCGGGTTTAATTTTATATTTCAAAAATAGATGTATATGACTGCTTTGTTTTACAAAAATATAATCAAGTTCATTATATAGATTGTATTCATATATTTTCCATTAATGTAATTGTTTTGTTTCTTATATCGTGTGCAATTTTGAAAATGCAATAGGTATTGTACAAATTTATCTCATTAACAAAAAAGACAGATGAATGATTGAAAAAATATCATTCGTGTGAATATTTTTATTTACAGTGTGTTTATTATCAAATATAGTTGTAGGTTTAAGTGCTAATTATATAATTTGATGTATGATAGATGAAGAATTGCAAATAAAAGTTTTAATATTGAATAATTCTTTGTAAATAATCCAAAATATTTGGGGTAATAAAATCTAAATCAGTAATAGACAATATAAGAAACCTAAAAAAATAGATAATAAAGAGAAAAATTATGTTTAAAAAGAAAAAAAAAAACAAACACAATGCATTACAATTTCTGGTTTAATAATTTAAATGAAACACATGTTTATTTTTATAAATTACACTTGATATAGGTTATTCAATCAAATATTTAATTCATACAAATAATTCGGTTAACATATATGTATGACCAAAACCTAAAATACAAGTACAATCTTAAAGATATTAATATCTAAGTTAATATTAAATTGAACAAAATTATTGTAAATATAACACAATGTAAGATTTTAGTTAGTGTTCATGTTTTAATAAAAAACTAGGATAAGACCTGCGCCTTGCGCGGGATGAAGCTATTATTTTTATTATGTTTTGAAAAATGAAACAATAGTTCAGTTTCATTCGGATTAGAGGTGTTCAATCCGGATATCGGGTCTCGGTTCGGCTCGATTTTTTGGTATTTTGATCATTAAAATATAACTACTATTCTAAATCTATATGTTCTTCAGTTTGATTTGGTTTATATACCATCGGTTTTCAGTTTATTTAATTTTATAGAAAAAAACATAATTATTTAGTTTG